ATTTTATTATTATATTTATTTTCTTTTCTCTTCATAGTTTGTTGGTCCAGGCGCCGCTGTCAGTGTTTGTTTGTTTGGTTCGTGTTGGGCTCTGAGTGACCTATGTATGGTGTTATATTTGGGGTGGAGAAATTAGGCGTTAGTCTCTATCATTAGAGAGGTACCGCCTTTATATAGTAGCTGCACTATTTACAAATAGGTTCTCTCTACAACATTGGGACAATTGAACGTGAGTCGTATAAGTAGGACTCACATATAAATTTAGTCGGGAACTGGTGAGCATTGTAGCCGAATGCCTGGTCTCCGCTGTTATTGTTCCTTGAGAGGAATGTGCAGTCGGGGTTATGAGGACAGGGGGGCGAGTTCTGTGGAGGGATTGAGTGCTTGAACCTTATTAGAGCCCATCCTACATGCAGGTTTGGTGGTAGTATGGGTTCAGTCTTGAGTGGTTGCGATGTTTGGTATCTGTATTGCCTAGGTAGCCATTGTAGCCCAGTTGCAAGACGCTTTGCGGACAAACCTCCAAGGCATGTGGGCCCGCTGATAATCTCTGCTAGAGTACATTCGCCACCACTTTATTCAGTGTAGTATTTGGCATTCTGTAGGCCGACATAGCAGTGGAATCGTCGTCGGTTGTTAGGTTTAGTTGCTTGGGTGTGTCTGGCGTCTGGCCAGAGGTTGCACAGATTGTAGTGAGCGTTGGTCGTGCGGTTTATTAAGATTCTGACTCCATCTGCCATGAAATGCAATATATGATTTCTTTTTGCTTGCTTTGCATTCGATTGGTTTCTATAAAATGTTATATTATGTTTATACTTTTTTTCCTTGCAGGAAAGTTCTCAATATGTAATGGGTAATGCTTCTAGATTCTTTTTAAATAGTCATCTTCTTGCAATTATGTCTTTATTTTTACCTTTTGTAATTTATTTTTTTCTTATATAATATTCTTCCATCCACTCTTCAAGCGTGCTTTCTTCCTACTCATTGCCGCAAATTCCATGCATCGCTCACATCTCTTATAATCTTTGTTCTCAGGATTCGCGAATCTGAATCATCACAACATTAGAATTCTAAGTATAACATTAAATGTCTTTACTCACCTTTTGCTTTCTTCTTTCCATCATGACGGACATAAATTTGCTACTTTAAGTATGACTTTCGTCGTAAACTCCTTATGTTTCTTTCTTGATCATCCGTAATGGAATAAACTATGGACTTTAAATTCATCAATTTCTCTTTTAGGTCAATGCTTACCGACTGTCATTTTCAACCCTAGGGCTAAGCCAATCATTGATCTAGCTCACTTTTACCAAACATGAAGCCAGCACGATTGTCCAAGATCAAATTCGGTATTCCCTGATTCATTATGTGTGTAAACCGCATTACTAACCTGTCTTATTAAACAGCGTCCGGACACAATATATATGACCCCCTGGCCTTCATTCATTCTTACCCAATATTTTTGATAAGTCGTTATACTTTGAAGCGAAAATAAGAAATGAATCCCAACCACTTAGAAACAGGCCAACAACCGTCAAAAAATCCCCAATATGGTGAGAACACCCAACCAAGATTGAATACCTGAGATTTCATACTCTTGGTAACAATACCCCATATAGCGCGGCCGCATCTACTGCCAGCTAGGGGTCAATGCCCCCTAGCACATTTATAATGCATGTAAAGTCACTGCACCTTTTTAAACATTCTGCCCACCCCACCCCCAAGACATAAAAATAAAATTAAAATTACACCCCAAGACCCAAGCAATCTAAAAGAAAGCTATACGGATGGTTAGTAGACATTTGAATTAGCTCATTGGAAAAGTAAAAAATCCTGTCTAAATTTCCTTTAACAATAAAGTGTCTAAGTACGTTCTCATCATAGCTACTCATGAATTTTAATATATTCATATTTTTTATTCTTTAGTACATACACTTGTTTCCCCCCCCCCGCCCGGCCAAACCCTCCAAATAGGAAAATTTTTCTGATCCCGCCCCCCTCGCCATACATACTGTACCTAAAAATAAAAATATAATATTATAAAATCATAGTACATGATGAGAACGTACTTAGAACACTTTATTGTTAAAAATTTAGACGGATTTTTTTACTTTCCAATGAGCTAATTCAAATTGTTACTAACATCTATAGCGTTTTTAGATTGCTTGGGTCTTGGGGTGTAATTTTAATTTTATTTTTATTTTGGGGTGGGTGGGGCAAATGTAAAAGGTGCATGACTTTACATGCAAATTATAAATGTCTAGGGGTGCAATTGCACCCCTAGCTGGGCAGTAGATCCGCCCCTATATGTATGTACCAAGAGTAGAAATCTCAGTATCAATCTTGGTTGTGTTCTCAATATTGGGATTTTTTGACGGTTTTGCCTGTTTCTAATGGTTGGATTCATTTCTTATTTTCCTCCAATATAACATTATCAAAATATTGGGTAAGAATGAATGAAGGGGTCATATATATTCGTGTCCGAGCTGTTTAATAAACAGGTTAGTTGGGTTTACCACATAATGATGAATACCAATTTATCCTTGACAAAATCCTGCTGGCTTCCTGTTTGGTAAGTGAGCTAGATCAAGATTGCTACCCCTAGTTGAAAATGACAGTCTAAAGCATTACCTAAAAGACCAAATTGATGAATTTAAAGCCATAGTTTATTCCATTACGATGAAAGAAAGAAACATAAGGAGTTTACGACGAAAGTCATACTTAAAAGCTACAATTTATTCCGTCATGATGAAAGAAGAAACAAAAGTAGTAAAGATTTAATGTTATACTTGAATTCTATTTGTGATGATCAATTGCAATCCTGAACAAGAATTATAAGAGATGTGACATGCCATGAAATGACAATATAAAGAAACACACTAAATGATGAATTTATAGATATTCAAAGGTAAATAAAACATAATTGCAGATGATGACTCATTTAAAAAAAATCTAGAAGCTCTACCCATTACATAATTGAGACTTTACCTGCAAGGACAAAAGTTTTTACATATTTTGGAAATGACTGCACTGGCAGCCAATCGAATTTCATTCCATGCTTCATCTGGGTCAGATCTCTCATCAAGCAGAAGCTCTAAATTGTAATCTGAAGCAAAAAAAATAAAATAAAAGAGAGATTATGTAGCCTAAGATGCCAATATACACTAATAAAGTGTGCGATTATCTAAGAGTATAGGGCCAATGACTTGGAAGTTTCAAACGTTGCAACTGCTAAATCTACTAGTCAATGATACCAAACCATCAACATAAGATGAAATATACCAAAATGTGTAGATGGCTTATAAGGTTCAAGACTAATCTAAATCGTGTCCTATAAAGATTGAATTCATCTCAAGGAAAAAACAGGAGAAATTCAGGTAAATGTCAAGTTATATTTATTGTTGAGTTATTTAGATAGTAATTAGTCAATGTTGTAAGGACCTATTTGTAATAGTGCACTTATATAAAAGGGGTACCTCTCTATGATAGAGAATAACCCTAATTTCTCACCCCAAATTACTACATGGTATCAGAGCCATGTGGCGGCGCCTCTGGGAGCTGATCGTGATCGTGATCCTCGTCGTGTGAATCGCGCACAGGGTCGTGTCCTCGAAGAGCCTGACGAAGACGAAGATCAGGACGACGAAGCCCGACGATCCGACGAAGATCTCAAGATCCGACGAGGCTTGCAGCAAGATCCGACGAGATCCGACGCTGCTGGAGACGAGGGCTTGCAGATTGACGATCCGACGAATATCTTAAGATCCGACGAGGCTTGCAGCAAGATCCGACGAGATCCGACGCTGCTGGAGACGAGGGCTTGCAGATCCGACGAGATCCGACTAAGATCTCAAGATCCGACTCCCCCTCCCCTCGGATCCGACGAAGATCCGACGACCGATCAGTTTCTTCCGACGCTGTTGGAGATGAGGGCGAAGCTGCTGAAGTTTGCACGAACGTGCTCGAGGAGGTGGAGAAGTTGTTCGTGTCCCAGATTCAGGATTGGGGGAACGGGTCGCTGTGCTAGAAGAAGAAGATGCAGGGGAGGCAGAGGGTCAGCGAGTACGTATGGTAGGATATAACGCTGCTGAAGGCGATGCTGCTGAAGTTTCCAGCGTTTTTGGCATCTTTGATTCTCATCAGGTGCTGAGAAAGAGAGAGATTAGAAGGGTAGATTGGTAGAGAAGAAGCTTTAAAAACTCAGAGTGGAGGCTGAAGATCAAGTATAGGTGCTCAATCTCGCAGGACCTTTAGTAGAGTTGTGTTTGATCTTGTTTCTCTGTTGGGTTTGAGATAAGGATAGTCAAATGGGAACACCTGTGACTAGTCAAGAATTGAAAGAGATCCTGGAGGGGGTGGCCAAGGTATTTCAGACCAAACTAGAGGAGAATTCTAGTAGGTCAGTCGCGATAGCACCGGAGTCGGCGTAGGTAATACAGAGGGTAAAGTTGCTGCCTAATGACATCAAGCTTGAGGGGACAAGAAACTATTTGAGCTGGTGTCAAAGGGCATTGTTGAACCTTCGAATTAAAGGACTTGAAAAGTACGTGAAGGGGGAGTGCACTGAACCGCAGAATGAGGCGAGTGCTGAGTGGAACACATGAAGTAACACTAATTCTCTGGTGGTTTCTTGGTTGTTGACTTCTGTCTCCAACCATAGCTGGGATGGTGGAGTCTATCTCAAGTGCAACTGATGTCTGGAAGACATTGGAGGGGATGTACTCTGGAGCTGGAAGTGTGATGATAATGAAGAAAGTGGATAGAAAAGAGTTATTTTGTAATGCATGTGAACTTGGAAAACATACTCATTCTACTTATAGAATGATTGGTCTTCGAAGTTGTGAACCATTTGCACTTGTCCATTCTGATGTTTGGGGACCATGTCCTACTATCTCTATTAGTGGTTTTAGATGGTTTGTTACTTTCATTGATTGTTATTCACGTATGGTCTGGATATACATGATGAAACAGAAATCTGAGGTTTACAAATGTTTTCAAGACTTCTCGGCCTATGTGAAGACACAGTTTGAAGTACAGGTGAAGATTCTCCGAACAGATAATGGGACTGAGTATTTTAACAAGGAGTTTGCCGCTTTCATCTCTAATCAGGGAATCCTTCATCAAACTACCTGTCCAGACACCCCTGCTCAGAATGGGGTAGCTGAACGTAAGAATAAGAATCCACTAGAAGTGGCCCGCTCATTGATGTTGACAATGAATGTGCCTAAGTTTTTATGGAGTGAGACTGTCATGACAGCATCTTATTTGATCAATAGGATGCCATCAAGAGTATTATGGATGAAGACACCGTGTGAGATGCTCTTGGGCTCGAATATTTTTGTTGTTCCACCAAGAGTGTTTAGATGCACATGTTATGTGAGAGATCACAGATTGATGGTGAGTAAACTGGATCCGTAAGCAGTTAAATGTATCTTTGTTGGCTACTCATCAAGCCAAAAAGGATACAAGTATTGGTATCCCACTGAAAGAAAGTTATTTGTCAGTATGGATGTGACTTTTCGGGAGTTTGAACCTTTTTATGGGGAGAAGACGGAGTTGAGTTCCTTGTTTGGAGATGACTCTACTGATGCTAGTAAAGAGGGGGAGAATGAGAATGAAAATGAGAATGATGTCGTGGTTGGGATGATTCCATGTCCTCTTGAGTCACCGAGTAGTGACGGTACACCGCCGAGTAGTGGTGGCGACTCAGGAGGTGACAGTCAAGGTCAGGGGGAGCTGAGAGTATACACGAGGAGACAGAAACAGCAGCATGAGCCGCCTCCTGTGCCTATACCAGTACCCACAAATATTGATGTCCCAAGCCCCTTCTCTCCAGTGACTTCTCCACCTGAGTCGATAGGTAACGAGTTCTTTCCTGATACTTCTAATACTCTCGTCTTGCCCCGCAAAACCTTTAGAGTTAATGCTGGAAAACCTCCAGCTAAGTTTAGTAGTTGGGATACTGACATTACGAATTACATTTCATATGCATCCATTCCACCCGCATATAAGTCATTCATTGCATCATTGCATTCATTACCTGTACCTAATAACTGGCAGGTCGCTAAGCAAGACCCTAGGTGATTGAGTGCCACGCAAGAGAAACTTCGGGCCTTGAAGAAGAATGATACATGAGAGCTGGTACCTTTGCCAGCTGGGAAGCGTGCTGTTGGATGTAAGTGGGTGTATACGGTTAAGCAAACTCCAGAGGGAAAGATCGACAGATACAAAGCCAGATTGGTTGCTAAAGGCTACAGTCAAACGTATGGCATTGACTATGACGAGACATTTGCTCCAGTAGCAAAGATGAGCACGGTTAGAGTGTTGGTGTTATGTGCTTCCAACTTCAATTAGCCACTACATCAGCTAGATGTCAAGAATGTCTTTTTGCATGGAGATCTCCAGGAGGAGGTGTATATGGAGATTCCACCAGGCTTCGCTACTTCTCAAGTAGTTAGGAAGGTGTGCAAGTTGAAGAAGTCTTTGTATGGGTTAAAACAGTCTTCGAGAGCATGGTTTGACAGATTCAGGTTGGCAGTTTGTAGTATGGGGTACAAGCAGTGCAATGGGGATCATATTGTGTTCTACAGGCACTCCAAAACTCGTATCACTATTCTGGCGGTCTATGTTGATGATATTGTAATCACTGGAGATGATGTTGAAGAAATCCTACGGTTGAAGAAGAATTTGGGAGAGAAATTTGAAGTTAAAGATCTGGGACAGTTGAAATACTTCCTCGGAATTAAAATTGCAAGGTCGCGAAAGGGTATAATGCTTTCTCAGCGGAAGTATGCTCTGGATCTTCTCTCAGAGACAGGGATGTTGGGGTGCAGAGTTGCATCTACTCCTATCGAGCAGAATCATAAGATGTGTGCTGAGGGTGGTGACCCAATGAGTAAAGAGCAATATCAAAGACTAGTTGGACGACTCATATATTTATGCCATACGAGACCTGATATCACTCATGCCGTGAGTGTGGTGAGTAAATATATGCATGATCCTAGAGAGCAGCATATGGAGGCAGTTCGCAGAATTCTTAGATATATTAAGGGAAGCCCATGAAAGGGGTTGTGGTTCAGAAGTTCTAGACATCTGAGAATTAAAGGCTACTGTGATGCTGATTGGGCGGGTTGTATGGATGATCGTAGGTCCACTACAGGCTACTGTGTATTTGTTGGAGGTAATCTCGTATCTTGGCGTAGCAAGAAGCAAGATGTGGTGGCTAGGTCTACAGCTGAGGCGGAGTACAGGGCTATGACAGTTGGTCTGTGCGAGTTGATGTGGGTCAAAAACATATTATTTGAGCTACGCTTGTTTAGAAGAGACTCCTTACACCTTTGGTGTGACAACAAATCGGCGATTAATATTGCAAACAATCCAGTTCAGCATGATCGCACCAAACATGTGGAGATCGATCGGTTCTTTATCAAGGAGCAACTGAATAGAGGAGTTCTGACTTTGAGATATGTGAAATCAGAAGAGCAGTTAGTTGATTGTTTAACAAAAAGATTAAGTTCTAGAGAGTATGATATCTTTTGTAACAAGATGGGGATGATTGATATCTGTCGCCCATCTTGAGGGGGAGTGTTGAGTTATTTAGATAGTAATTAGTCAATGTTGTAAGGACCTATTTGTCCCATCTTGAGGGGGAGTGTTGAGTTATTTAGATAGTAATTAGTCAATGTTGTAAGGACCTATTTGTAATAGTGCACTTATATAAAATTTAGATAGTAATTAGTCAATGTTGTAAGGACCTATTTGTAATAGTGCACTTATATAAAAGGGGTACCTTTCTATGATAGAGAATAACCCTAATTTCTCACCCCAAATTACTACATTTATATTGTGGGAAAAAAAAAGAAGAGAAATAATCTAAATTCTATGTGTTGCACATATCTGCTCATATTTTCCAGCGAGGTAAGAAAAATATAAACAGAGCTATCGTATTACCTTCACCAGAGGTAGTAGCTGACAGGAAGAAATTCCCTTTACCATTGACCAAATGCATTAGAGCTCCATTGAGTTCAGACTGTACAAAAAGGAGAGAGGAGACAACATTAGTACAATGAAAACTGTAGTTAATAATCAAAGATTCAAAACTAAAAGCTCTGATTACTTGTGTCAGGGGGGCTTCAGGAAGAAATCTGAAACTAGGAACTAGAAGTTTATAGGGCTAATGACCATCAAATTACTAGATTTTACAGATCACATCGGATACAGAACCAAGGGAAATCATTGTATGACCAAATTAAAATAGGCGCATAGTGCATGAAATGAAACTATGACCCCCTTGTGGAAAAAACATCAAAACTAAATCAAACTAGAAAATAGGTGGAAAAAATAATAAACTTCCTTCACTTCATGTACTATATTGCATTAACATAAGATCTATGTTTTGCTATGTGATTGAAGAAAAATTGCTCGAAGGATATGTGATGGGGACAATAATGGTAATTTTTCATATTTGTTATTTGACTTTCTTTTATTTTAGTTTTGGACAAGGAAGATTTGGCATGTTTGGCCAGATCTTAATTTAGTTTTAATTATGAGAGATTTGAGGAATTTTCTATTTTGGTAGGATTTTAATTTTGAATTTTGAATTTTGGTAGTAGAGTTAGCTATGACAATTTGAGTGATTTGAGGGATTTCAGAATCTGTAATTTTTTCTTTGTAAAAGACTGGTTGTAATCAGATTTTTAAAAAGGAGATTTGAATCAATGAAAATTTTTGTTAACTCATTATTAGTGTGAAGCCTCGGGTGTGAAACCCTAGGCCGACATGTGTGAAACCCTAGGCCGACGGGTGTGAAACCCTAGGCCGACTCCCTGGTTCCTCTTCCACAAATAACCGCCACCCTCCCCTATTTCTTCTTCGTTTTCCCAAACAACCGCCCCCGCTCTTCTCCTCCTCCAGCAGCCTCCGCCGCCGCCTCCTCCCCTGCTCCCTTCCACTTCGAGCAGCCGCGCCAATCACCCCCCACTTCAAACAGTCCCAACGAACTTATTCCTGCTCTCGCGCCAATCACCCCCCACTTCAAACAGTCCCAACGAACTTATTCCTGCTCTCCTCCACCTCGAGCAGCCACCCTTTCCTCCTCCACAAATCGTCAAATCCACCTCAAACAGCCGCCATTGTCGTCTCTCCCGCGTCCACTCGTCGACCACGTTCTCTCGTCACCCACGTCGCCAGTTTATACGTTGACCCGTCACCCTCGTCGTCGCTTAGTCATTGCCGTTGTCGCCGCTCAGTTCGCCATGCATCATCATCCAGTTCGACATCGTCGCATCACCTCCAGAGGTCCCTCACATCGAGCCTGTTCAGGCCGACGAAGGTTTCGTTTTCTCTCTATTTTTTTGTTAATCTCATTTTATTAGTTAATTGCATGAGTATTCTATCTCTAAACTCTTATCATATATTCACTGCTTAGATTATATTTGTGAGTTCGAGAGTAGCATGCGACTGTTAAAATTTGATATTGATTGTAGAACTTGTGCATGATAATGAATATTGCAATTAAATTGATTGAGATGAGAATTATTCATAATTATTGATGCAAACTTTGTTAAATCCATGTGTCACATTAGTTGTTTTGAATTTAATTTCTGCTAAAGATCATGAAATTTGGTGAAACGATGTGTTATTTGAATTAAATCGTTGATTCTGATAGACCCCATGTACCGTTTCACATCAATATGGCTGAATATTTCTCACAGCCACCTCTCATGATATAGAGAAAAGTTTGATCTTCTGATAACTTGTTCAATACTGTGTGTGCCTTTGTTCTTAGAAATTGGAAACACTAGTATCTCACATCCATCCAGTATTATCTAAATATTATCTAAATGTCGTAACTCATATTGGTTGCACAGATCCCAGAAAACCATCTTACCTAATCGGAACTAGTCTAAAGGAAAGTCTCCTTTCTTATGAAACAGAGCCAAATAACTTACAATTAATTTTATTTTTTCTCAAACTATCTGAGTTCTGAGCATAATTTGCTAATAAACCTTGTCACATAATGCACCTCTAATGACAAATATATGTCTCTTGCTCATTTGTTGACCTTTTCTGCAGAAAACTAGCCTAATCATATTACTGTCCACCTACCTATGCGTTAAAAGTTTATTATTGGTCTCTGATATTTCCTAGAAAGTTTTATATCTTCTTACAAAATACCAAAGCACAATTCTATATTCTGAACTGACAACCAAATTACACGGATCAGAAAGAAACATAATAATACATATAATACACCCTATCAATTATGCTCTATAAAGAGCATAATGCTTTAAAATATAAGTAATATTTCTTATACTATTTATATACATATCGAGGTTCTTTCATAGATGTTTTCATAATCAACTTTTGAAAAATGCCAATAACTATATCAGGAGAAAGATAATGCTACTACACTTAGTGTCTGTTTGGTTTGAACAAAAATCAAGGAAAAGAAAAGACAGAGAAAAAGAAAATAAGTTTGCACTGTTTGGTTGGTAGGAAAAATGAAATGAAAGTGAAAGCAAATAAATCGAAAGAAAGATTACATCAAAAAAATTCTTTGCCCTTTTCCTTTTCCTGAACCTAGGGAAAATGCTGGGGGCGGGGAGGGGATGTCGGGCCACCCATCCGATCACCTCTTTCAGCAAAAAGGCCACCATTTAACCCTATCCCAAACACTTCCATGTTCCCCTTTTGTTACATCTGGGCCCCACCAACAATAAATAAAAAGAAGTGGATCCAAGCCGCAGCAGAGATGTATGGATTTAATTGGTTTGGGCTTTGTTCTTTGGGTTTTTTCGATATTAGTCCCTTAAGCCTTTCATATTTTTATTTCTTATTTATTTATTTTTTTAATATTTCTCTTTTAGAGAAAAAGATGGAGCATCCAAGATGCTCCAGCCAGCTACTTTCATGTTTTGAAAGGAAAATGATTTAAGGACCCAAAATATGGGACCAAGTGAGGGGACAGGTGATGTGTCCCCTCCTTATTGCATAATGAGTTGGCATGACCAACTCATTATGCAATAGGGAGGGAACACCTCACATGTCCCCTCCATTGGTCCCATATTTTGGGTCCCCGTAGCAGCACTCATTTTGAAATTAGTATTAAATCATGAAAAACAGATTTTAGGTCCTTCCATTCTTAGTTTATTTTAAACTTGGTCCCTCAAATGACAAAAATTTCTATTAGGTCCCCCAATTCTTAACTTAGTTTGAAATTAGTCTCTCCAATTAACAGCAATTGGAGTGATTTACCAAGTAAAATCTATTGCTATGGACTATCAACTTCTCTATTTCTCATAATTTGTTTCAAGTTAATCCTTCCAATTACTATTTCTATTCTTGATCAGTGGGACTAATTTAAAAATAAGTGAAAAACTATGGGACATAATAGCAATGTCAGTGACTGAGGAAATACTTGCAAAATATGAAAGATTTAAGGAACTAATATCGAAAAAAACCCTTGCGCTTTTTACCTGTCGGCTTTGTCCACATTAGTCCCACAAATCTTTAATATTCTGAAATTAGTCCCTCAATCACTAAAATTGCTATTAGGTCCTCCAAATTCTGAAATTATTTTAAAACTTGCCCCTCAAATTATCAATTTTGCTATTAAGGCTCCCAATTTTCATGAGTTATTTCGAATTAATCGTCAAAATGAGGGGACCTAAGAGAAATTTCAATGATCTGAGGGACTAATTTGAAATAACTTAAGAACTAGTTATACTCTCTTAACTCATTTTTAGTGAACTTATATTATTTTCCTTCAAACCCATCTTCTTTCCTTCTAACCAAGCATGTAAAGGAAACTTATTTTCTTTTCTTTTTCTTTTTCCTTTCTTTTTCTTTTCCTTCACATTCTACCATACCAAACACAACCTTAATGAAAAATCTATTTTTCAAAACATGAGACATTATAAAACTAAGTACTATCAATACGTCTCAAAAAGAAAAGTACTATCAAAGTATCAATTACGTAGGATGCACAAAAGTAATACAAAAATTAAATGAACTGAAAAATAATTCGTCATCATAAGAACATAGTCTCCAATAAGATCAACAATGTTAAGCATTATTGAAAATATCAACACAAACCTCCTTTATTCCACGCAATGGTGAACCTTTCAGGCCAAATATAACAAGTGGTTCCTTTCTAAAAGAAGGTTCCTACAAAATATTCATTCATAAAGTTCTAATCAGTGATGTATCAAAATAAATGAAAAAGACGACAATGGTTGAACTTGCGGATTTTCCATTGGTGGTATGGGAATAATTATAAAATGCAAAAGATCAGTTCAAGTAAAAAATGGCAATGTGCTTCAAATGTGCAAAGATATAAAATAATGTACTCCAAACTGCAGTTCTTTCCATGCTCAAAGGTGCCAATTCAATTAAAGCCCTCCATCACTATTTTTAAGGATATGGTGACCATAAAAACCTTGCATTATAATTACCTATATCAAGCATAGCAGTTTTTTCTGATCATGACTGAGAAAGCACGAATACCTTAAATCTTCCATCTGCTGCTACTTTCATACTAAAACTTCTGGCATGTTCCTTCAAAATATTATTATCTGATGATATACTCATGGGAGGATCAACAGGTTCACAAAGCTGCACAATGATAGCTTCGAGTTCAGGTTTATCAGTGCCAATAAACACAAGACAAGTTTTTGGTGCACTTTCCCAAGGGCGTCCACTAATTGCTTCTACCCTTTTAACCCCACTCCATTGAAATATAAAGCGACTTTCTCTGAAATTAAATTAAGAGGTTCATCAGCTTCTCGATCCTTTTAATCTGTACCCATTATGCACTGATGACTCTCAAAAGTTCAGTACAGAAAATACTATATAATATTAAATAAAAGTTGAGATAACAATCATAGAGAATGTAATTGTAAAGCAAATAAAAGATAGAGAACTCAGCAGTGATAGTAAAGATGCTAATCAGTGCAAGATCTTTGGAATGAAATAAAGATACAACACAAATCATAAAGAAAGATGGAAAATCATAAGAAACAAAATAATCGACTAAAGATCTGAGCTACCTATCTTCAGCAAACCATATAATTCCTTTGGCTCTAAGAAGCCCTCTTGCTCTCCTCATCCGTGTCATAACTCTTGTTTGAAACACGCTTACTGACAAGGGGCGTTCACTTTCAAAGGTAACAGATGAGAATGCATATTCTTGAGATAAACCTAAAAGAAAGAGAATCGAAGTTAGAAAAACAAACCTATGCCAAGATATGTAGGTATCATAAAGTATTATGGTATTGACAGCAATGAAACAGAAGGTAGGAAACTTTACAGATCAAGTGATAAAAGGAATTTTTTATTACACATCCATAAGTATTTTTAAAGATAAAAAAGGACGACTTTCCCTCTGATTTTCCCTTTCAAGGGTGGTTAGGTACTGAGAGGAAAGTTTACAGATCAAGTGATAAAGGTATTTTTTTTATTACACATCTATAAGTATTTTTAAAGATAAAAAAGGACCCCTTTCAAGGGTGGTTAGGTACTGAGAGGAATCTGTCATATGTAATTATGTTATCATGATTTCTAGATAACTTGTAAAACAAAACATAAATATTGCTAATGGAACAATATAACCTAACACCAAAATTCTGGTAAATTCAGTCTATATTTTCTGTCCCCCCATCCCTAGATACTATCCTCAAGTACAGAAATTCAAGCAGTTCTCTTTTTCTTGCGATGCTGTTTTTCCTGTGATTTTCTTTTGAGTACTAAAATGAACGGCGGAGTAGGTGTTTTCCTCCACTTAGCGGCACCTTCCAGAGCACCTCAACCCTCGACCAGCTTCACTTGCTTATATTATTTTCAGAGCTTATAATTTTCATTCACGATGGGTTTGTTCCATGAGATGGAAAGACCTATTGCCTCAAGGTAAAACTTGACATCTTGGGACTACCACGCCATCACCAACTACAATATGAAGTAGTGAAAACTATCATATTTTCCAAGCTCCTCATGAACCTTGGCAGAGGCGGATTTAAATAGATGTGTAGGGGTGCAGTTGCACTGCTGAAAATTTATAAATTGCATATAAGCCCTTGTAATGTTACAATCTGCTCCCAATAAATTTTAAAAATTGCACACCAACCTATCTAAAAACACTAAATAAGTTAGTAGCAAATTAAATTAGCTCGTTGGAAAGTAAAAGCCCAATTAACTTTTCAACAATCGAAGCCAAATAGGCCTAATGGAGCTTATAAAGTGCACCGAGTGCATTCCCATCATGCTCTATAGTTTTATAATATATATTTTTATTTTTAGGTAAATTGGTGAATCAAGTGTGTGCGCTTGTGTTATTCTTCACTGCAGTTCCAATGTGTTAAGGATGCTACAACAAGGATCTAAGACATATGCTAAGCTGCATCACTTCTCAGAGTTATTGTGAAAGTGTGTTTTATAAAAGTTTACCGGCTTTTACTCGAGATCTAGCAATCGTTAGATCGCTATTTTTTACTTATAGAGTAAGGTGAAAAAGTAACATAATTGAACAACTTAGAACTTCCTAGCAATGTGACAAATTTCATTAGAACCAGACAATAAACTCTAATCCTGCAAACTATGAGGCATTTAATTATCACCTGCAACAGGCTGCTTGCTGTCATGGACAATGGAGGAAACAGCTACAGAAGTTTTGCCGAACATATTTCCTCGGAATGTCGCCTTAGGCAAAGATTCATGAGAAAGCACCCCCGGAGCAGTGTATTCTTCGTTTACTGCAGTTAAAGCTTGAATATTACTACAGTCAATCACAAGATCCAGTGGAACCTTACAGAACTGTGAGCGAACAACTTTTGCACCCCCTGTTAGTCCTTCTAAAATATCTTCATCATCAGATACCTGACCGAGGGTAGCCAAATCACATCTGCAAGAGGAACTCACAGTGATTCCAACTGGAAACTGCATCTACATGTTTCCACTAAGTCAAGCATCTCATAAGAGACAATCTACTGCATAACTCATTGGAGCATACACAACGTACATATTAAAGTGCAGAATTCATTTCATATCTTAACATGCACCAAATGAAAGACATTTTCTTGCATTAATTTATACTAGAGCAACCCGATACCAACTCTTTTCCCATTATACAAAATTATTTTCCTTGTTAATTATCTTATATCTTTAGATATTATCATAAGTTCCTTTGAATACAAAAGAATTTGCAAATTTCTATAAAAGAATTCCAGATCTTCACACAAGAAAACATCTCCATATACCTTCAATGCATAACAACAGCTAAAATTTGTCTTTATATCTTAAAATATACTCAAGCCTAGCTTGTCAAACATATTTGTATCTATATCCGAACTGAGATTAAAAACTATATCAATATTTCATATTTGTATCCGTATCTGACCAGTTAGAACTTAAGTATCAACATCCGCAAATATGGATGCGGATTGGATCATGATAAATCTGAGTTGTTTTGCACCCTATTCACAACTATACGCATTGAAACAAACGATAACAAAGAAGATTCAGTATTGAACAAATTGATATTTTGGATGTCTGATTGTTGAATATGGGTCTCGTCATTATTTCTTGTTGCATGAGAAAAAGCAGGCATTAAAAGGGGCATACTTGTTCAATAATACAAGATCCACGTGCTGCAACTGCTTCTTTACTATATCAATGTGTAAAATTTTATCTAGTGATTCAGCATCAACCACAGCAACTGTGATGTCTAAGTGAATGCCAACTTCTTCCAACTCTGTCACAAACTTATCTGGTCTTGCCAATCCAGAAGTCTACATAACAATGCAGTTTGTCAGGATGTGAGGTCACAGTTGATCACAGTTGAATTCTATGTCAAGGAAACTTGAGTTCTTCATATGAATGACTGAGAAAATAATACTGTGAAAATAATACTGTAAGCAATGGAAGGTGAGAACAGGAAAATAAAAAGATCTTCACTGCTTTATCTTCTAAGAAAAAAATGAGCATAGAATCTCATTAAATTTTGCTCAACAAAGTAGCAAATTAAAAATTGAAAATTTCCCGTGCATAAATCTAGAAAATTGCCTCATGTTGTAGTACAACCCGCCATAAAACCACACACACGCATGCACACGCGCACATGCATACACACACGATAACAACCTCCTATCACTTTCATGCATACATTGGAAACCAGAAATGCACAAGGATTGATCCACAAGTGCTTGTTTCTTGCTAATCACCCAGTATTTCACAAAGAAATCTGGAAAAAAGAAAAATCTTTAAGGAACTGTATACCTCCACCACCTCTCCTGATAGTCCACACCCTATATATCTCATCACTTTAAACAAAATATGTATTAGGCATGATAAATCCAAGATTTATTTTGAGGCAATACAAGAAAAAGATAATCAACTCAGTTTCAAAACTACAGTATTAATGCTAAAAAGTATGTTAACAAAACCAGTCAGGTGCACAGAACCCCCAGTTTGCCTACTTTTTCTTCAACTTCAAATCAAGTCAGTGAATCAAGGTATAAAATGATTTGTTTATGAAATATCTTTATTCAGCTCAATTATGAAACTGATAAACATGACACTGAGTCCATGCCTTGAGCTTGAAATAGTAAGCTGGGTGTAGTACCAAAGTCTTCATTAGCTGCCGAACACAAAAAGCATATTAACCACGCATATGACGTGTTATATAAGGGCAATATGTGATTATATGAAGAGAAGGCGCCTTTCATGGAATTTAGTGTTGACTATTAGTGTCACTATTACTGTTGCCAAAATTGTAACATGTTAGCTTATTAAATTGACACATGACCTCTCAATATTAAGGTTACTTAAGTTGTCGCGTTAATACCTGTTATGATATCAAATGTTCATGTGTAACCCTAGTCCAACAGCAACCAGCCAGCACTACTACAAGACATAAAGTGAAGAATCTTAAAGCACTCAGAGTCTGGAATCAAAAGTAAGAAAAGGATGAGGAAACCATTTTACTCTGAGAAGCAGAACCGATGCCTGCACTTTGGAACTTCAAGGTAAATTGATGTATTTAATCGAGAAAAGGGATGACAGGTTATTGTCCGACAATAGGAACCTAACAAAGTCATAAAGTATCCTCAAAAGCAGTTATAGTCATGGAGAACTATTTCTTCACCAAGTTTGCAAACATATTAAGAGCCAGATAAGCCCATACTTTGACAGGTAGAGATAAAGGAGGAAGCCATATAAACATTTTGTGGGAGTCATTACTGACATAGAAATTTATCTTTCCGTCGGTATTCTCGACTAATAAATAAATCTTTGCAATCTTCTTAAAAGCTCAGGCAACTTCTATCTTCTAGTCACAATTTGGTCATCAAAGCAAGATATTTCAAGAAAATTACTAAAAGATCTGCACTTCAGCCTTCATTTTCTTTTTTCATTTTTAACACAAGGTTTTCATAATGATTCTTACTAGTTTTACCCTATTCATGCATGGGATTGAGTATTACAACATTGTTGTAACAATCATATTCCATATTATGATGTTGATAGTTGTACGTTGCTTTCACTCTAAAAGTTATCATACAACTTAGAATATAATTAAAATAAAATTAAAAACTAATCATTTGGAGCCCCTTGCAATGAATGAGAGGGAGGGAGAAGAAGAAAGTAAGTTGTAGAAAAATCAATAAATAGTTATACATGGAAGTTCAGACGTCAATTGCTGAATCTCTCAAGAACGTATGTTTTAGTACATAATAATAGTGATAGATGGATACTCATATACTGCGAAAAATTGGTCTTGAACTTATGTGAATTTATAGAACTTTAGCTTTAATGGTTCTTAATGCTAAACTAATACTACTAAAAGCTAACCTATCCAAGTTGAATCAAATTCCAGACAATTTAATGGGAACTGAACCCACAAGTGATGCGAGAAAACCAGGTTTATCTAACTTACCAAATTACAAAAGTACATGTTAACTATCAAATGTGCATTTTCAATCAATTAAATGTATTAAAGTCAATTTCTCTCTGATGTCATTCTACAAAAGAAAACCCTTGCAAAGAAATGAAATTGAAATAACAAAAGGAAAACAAAATTTAGAATAAAATACCTCAATAAGCAAGCAGTCAAAATTATGCTTGCTATCAACAATCCGATGCAGGGCCTCCCTAAAAAATACCTCAATAAGCAAGCAGTCAAAATTATGCTTGCTATCAACAATCCGATGCAGGGCCTCCCTAAAAGGCCCCCTCACATCACAGCAACCACACCCTAACAAACCAAATAACAATCCGATGCAGGGCCTCCCTAAAAGGCCCCCTCACATCACAGCAACCACACCCTAACAAACCAAATCCACCTCAAATTCCAAATAATAATAATAATAATAATAACAAAGAAAAGAAAAGGCTAATTAGCACTTAAATATCCTATAGCTTCCCCTAGTTTGCACTCATATACCCGCATTGATGTTTGTAAAAGTTGCACTTTACTACCTTCTATTATGCAAATGTGATTTTTTTTTTCTCCGAGATTTCTCATTTGACACTCGTAAGATAATTTTTAGAACAATTTAGCCCTTAATTTTTGTTGAATTTACAGTTAAATACACCATAATTCTATCTTAAACAAGCTCAATTTATATTATTTTAAAATACAATTATGGTGTATTTAACAGGACTAAAAACTTATAAAAATTAGCTTGTGACCGTCACATGGAAAAACTCAGGGGAAAATTCTCACCTCAGCATAACACAGGTATTTAAGTGCGTGCAAACTTTAGAAAAGTTTTAGGGTACATAAGTGTGGACAAAAGCAAGCGGGGGTGCAAATTAGGGGAAACTATAGGGTGCTTTAAGTACTGATTAGCAAAAAAAAAGAGTTTCCTTTACCGTGGGTGAGCTCGACGGTGGGGAGATTGAACGCGGAGTTGAGCCGGCGAGAGTCGAGGAGGAGAGAATCGACGTCGGTGGAGGAGAACTCGTCCACGAGGACAGCAAGGCGGAGGTCGCGGCGGCT